TCACTTACCGCTCAAAATGCAACAATGCGTTGTATGAATATGGAATTGCGTTTATTCTATTTAAACGTTTTTTTAACGCGTAATATAAAATCACCCGTACAAATAGTATGACCAAAAGTAGAACATTTTGTCGGGAATTTTAGTCGTTGTCCCGGCCTCAGACATTTCCCGGATTATCAGGGACACGGGGAATTAACGACTGTGGAATCGTTGAAACAACCTACTATAAGGTTCTCCAGTCCCTTGGGTATGTTAGCGGAGATTTTTATAAATGTTATATTTTTATGTTTGTGCGTTTAAGACATTTTTGTATAGCGTATTTATTTCTCATAAATAGATAGGCAATTGTTTGTAAATGACAGCTTTGATTCGTTCCGACTTACGCGAAACGTATCTTGAACTTTTAACAAATTTGTTACAACCTAAAGTTAAATATAACATTTTGTATTCGGTATTTATTTAAGAATAAATCAATAAAATTCTTTAAGGAACTCCAATTCATGCGCTAATTCCAAAGAGTCCTCGAAAACCTTTTAGCGTAGATGTTAGCAAATTGCGGCTCATAATATTTATTCGTTTGAAATCTTGTTTTGATTTCGGGCAGCCGATGTCGGGACGCGATTATTGGGGGAAAGCAGAACACAAGGGATTAAATTCCGACAACATTTTTAATTCATAAAATCCTTTTAATAACGCTAACTTAATTTGTTGTTTTTTTGCCCAACATAAAAGGGGGAATTTTCTTCTTGTAAAACTATTTTTGTAACATTGCGACTTTCTCTAATAAAAACGGCTTGACTAATCGACAGGTAGTTGCGTCCTAGACCCATCTAGATCATCGATTGGCGATGCCTATGCTAATATGACATGAAATTTCAATTTTTTCTTTTTCAGGAGTGGCATATAGCATCGTTTTATAATTATTCAGCATTCACTTGTTTTTAAAAATAATTATCCTAATGCGAAATAAGGATCCGTATGTTGTAACGAGTTGAGCTCCCAAAGGTGAGAGGGGAATGTTTGTGTTCGTTTGTGCGGCTTCCTTTGAACGCTTCACTGATTCCGGCCAGATAGAGAAGTTCCGCTTTCCTTATTACGCATTTCCACTTTGTAAATGTCTCACAATTTAGAAGACTTATCTCTTTGACGATTTAAATCTGTTTGCACACTTTTGGCGCACGCGATGAATGTGGTAAACAAGATTAGGCCATTATTACCCGACTGAGAAAGTGGGTAATTTTAGTGTATGCAAGTTTGTTTTATTGTGACAACATACAGCTTGTAGTTTCCAGCTATAGTTTGGTTTATTGTGATATTCATGCAGTGATATAACAAAAAAAATTATAATTACGTATCAAACTTTGGACAGTTTGCAATTTATGGTATATCCCACTAAGAAATATCTTACTATTACAAATGCAAAAGTTTAGATGGATGTTTGTTAGAGTTTGCAGTCTAAACTGCTGCTGGTATAAATGTAGAGGATAGTCTGGGAGAAGAGATAGGCTACTTACTTTTTTATTCCATGGAAGGATTCGCAGGCGAAAGCTAGTAGTATGTTGACTAAACTTAATAGTTTGTAAATATCGAATGTCTCGTAACACAATAATTTCATGTGTGATTACGAAGCTATATAGAGTTGTTTAATTAATTATGTTTGCACTCCGCGAGGCAGTACTTCTACCAGTACAAGTATAGGCTTTGTAAATTACTATATTACTCTATGCGCAGATTACTTAAAGATAGAGAGTAGCAATTTTAATTGACTTGATTTAACTGTGACTATCAGATAGTCTTATTAAGTCGATATACATATTTTTTGATGTAGTAATTATTACTACGTAATTGTTGACCTTTGAATTAACTAAATCAGTTCAGACCTTGGTTTAGTCTTTAGAAGTAGGTTAATAATTATAATATACTGGCTTTCACCAGCGACTCCGTCTGCAAGGAATTGAAAAAATCTATGTGGTCTTCCAGACTATACTCTACATCTGTGCCAAATTTAATCGAGATTAGTTCAGCAGTTTAGGCTACAAATTTAACATCCATCCATCCAAACTTTCGCATTTATGATATTAGTAAGATATCTCTATGTGTTGGTTACCCTGTGACTAAAACCGTAGAGTAACTAGGAGTGGTTTCGCATTACTAACAACAAATTGAGCGTAATAAATAATAATTACACGTGTAATTACACATAACCTGTGTAATGGTATACGAGGTACTGTTTGTCTTGAGTCGCATTTCAAGTAAGCCTTAGTTTATAAGGTACGTTAGATTTACAAGCTATTTTATCTGTTGTAAATGAGTGCGTCAGTGGCTCAATGGTTTAAGCACTTGACTTGTAATCTACAGGTCTTGGGTTCGAATCCCGCCATGTACCAATGTGATTTTCGATTTTTCGAATTTTCATATGTATATAATTTACTCGACGTCCTTACGGTGAAGGAAAACATCGTGATGCCAGCACATATCGGCGAAGAAATTTAAAGATATATGTGAAGTCAACCAACACGCAGTGGGCCAACGTGGATGACTATGGCCTAGTCACCTTACTTAGGGTAGGCTCCGAGCCCCTAGGTGGGGACTCATAGAGAGCTGGTCATGATAATAATGATGATGAAATGCTTGCTTGTTGGAGTAAATATAAAATTGCATGTAATCTTGTATTTTAAAGCGGGATTATTTCGACGAAAATAACTCTAAAAGTAAGAAATAATGGTTGTTTTTGTAGAATTTAATTCAAAATTTGTCCATTTATTTATTTCATATACATATAATAAAATTGAAGTGTCTGTTTGTAATATCAAAAGAAAAATTCTAGATTTCGAGAAGATGTATTTGCGTTGCTCATAATGAAAATCGCATTTATTTTTTTTTTGTGTGTCTGTCTGCAAACCGCGTTTGTTCCGCATAATCTCGGAAACGGCTGGGCCGATTTCGACGGGACTTTCCCTATAGGGTAGCTTACATAGACGGGCATATTATAGGCTACTTTTTTATCTTAACATTTCGTGAATGAAGTCGCGGGAACAACTACAGTTAAATAAAAGCTTTACCACTTCTAAGAATCATTAACGCCATTAACAAAAAAGAAAACATAAATTCAAATAAAGAACAAAGTCGTTCCATTTCTTCAGATATTCTAAATCTTAGCGGATTCGAAATAACGACACTCAATAGAGTAATAACGGTTGAAATTAGAATGGCCGAATCTCCTAGATTAAGATGGTATTCCACGGTGCAAATGGCCGGAGTCCCGCAGTCCCCGGGGTGCACGGAGGCGGATAATCCGCGACTTGTTAATCCTGCGCCAATCGCTCAGACCATATAAATCACGAACAGAATTAGCAAGCCGATAATGTCCCTTGGGCGTGTTATTTAGCGCTGGCAACACGGCAATAATGTTTTTTGAAATAGTATTTTCATCACACTAATGGTACTAATATTGAAAGGCATAAATTTGGATGAATTGATGGGGGTATTTTTCTTACTAAATATCTCTAAAACGGCTCATTAGTTTTCGTTAAAATTTAGCAAACATGTACATTATAATCTGAAATAACACACAGGCTATTTACTAAGATTTTTTTTTTAAAAAAACTTGGTTTATACATTTTGTAAAATATTTGAAATTAAGATAATTTTGTGTATAACTTACTGCTAACGATACATCTTTTTATTAAGGTGTAGTATATTGCCGTATGTGACAACCCTAGTCTTAAGAAAGCATTTAGCGGAAAAAACATTAGGATAATACTGGTAGAGCCTTAATGACGTATTATTCGGCATCTAAACCCGACAACGTTTCATTTGCTTGCTCAATAGATTTCTTCAACTCATTATCGTCTCTATCAATGTATTATCTATTTTACTAATATTATAAATGCGAAAGTTTAGAATGGATGGATGGATGTTTGTTAGAGTTTGTAGCCTAAACGATTGAACAAATTTCGATTAAATTTCGTTATGTAGAGGTTAGTCTGGAAGAACACATAGGCAACTCACTTTCTTTTTATTCCACGCGGACGGATTCGTGGGTGAAAGCTAGTATTAATAATAAAGTGTAAATATATACTTCTTTGTTATGTAGGATTATAGAAATCACAGTATATTTTTGAATATGTCTTTTTAATAAAAACCCGAACACTTACGACACGCTATAGCCTATATATTTTAACACTATTTAATTATAGAAGTGGAATAGTTGGAAAACGCGGAAAAGACAATAACTTTATTGATTTAAATTGCATTTTATGGCAAAATGTTATGTTTAAAATAATATCAAAGGGATTTGTAAAGGTACTTAGCTTTAGTTCGTTATTCAATTTATCTTTTAACAATTATCTTGACACAAATCATAAATTTTCTGGTAATTTATTAATAAATAGATATGAAATATTAACTGTACATTTCCGTAGAATTTGTATGAAAATGATGAGTCTGCGATCTCGTGAGATATATTTGCATTTAAACAGACATACAGTTGCACTCATATGTTGAGTTTAAGATAATTAGTCGTGTAGAAATTGAGTACAGTCGGCGTCGTATGTGGTGTTCTATAAGAAAATAAACAATTTAAACTTATATACCTTGAAAGATAAAGATACTCCAAAAGAAACAGAATGATTTAAAAAGTTAATAATTTGATCAATAAACCGCGAGAATTTTTATTGGTTATTTGCAAGAGGTGCAGTCAAGTTTGTTGTGAGTTGCATTGTATTTTAGTAACTATAACACTCCGAAGGAAGATGACTGTACATACTTTATATTGATTTAGCATTTCTGCTGCGTATTCATACGATTGATATACATACATAGATAGTTAATAAATCATACGATAATGTAGTTTACTAAAGGATATTATTATTTACCTCTTATCTTATAACGTTATGCAATATTTATAAAATCTGTTCCCTTACCTTACATATAAATTACATTTACATCGCACCATCTGAAGCGTATTTCAATAATTTTGTGGTGTTCTAAAAGTGAAAATGTCTATACAAAGTTCGGAAGTATCATGTAAAGATTTAATATCGCTTAATGATTTTACGAACGAGCTAAAAGAAGCAATTATAAACATTATTAAGAAAGAAGGTTACGAGAGATGTAAGATCGGGAAAAGAATAATATCATCAAAAGGTGGGAACTTTTTGGGTATATTATACGAAGTGGATATCACTGGTATAACTAAACATGGTTACAAAGAAACCAATCTGTTTATTAAAGAAGCTAAAGTATTGAAAATAAATATAATTTCAATTAAAGATGTATACTCTAATGAAGTTTTCTTTTACAACGAACTGGCTAATATTATAATGGATTTACAAAAAGCTAATGTTCCCGTAAACGAGAAGTTTAAATTACCTAAAGGTTATAATGAAAGTTACGACAAAGCTATAATATTGGAGAATTTAGCAAGAAAGGGATATCAAATCTACGATAGAAGGAACGGCATGTGTTTAAAATTAGCTGAATTGATTGTGGAACAACTAGCTAAGTTTCACGGTGTGTCTTTTGTGTTACAAAACAGAGTACCGGAATATTATGAAACAGTAATTAAGTGTAAAAAACCACCAATGATGTTCGACGAGGATTGGAATTATTTTATAAGAAACATTTGTAAAAAGATTATAGAAGTTTTGGATAGTGATATATTAAAAGAAAAAGTTATGAAATTTGTGCCTAAAATGCACAGTAAATTACAAAAATATTTATTAGATAACACTTCTGTTGGAGTCTTGTGTCACGGAGATTATAAACCTCAAAATATAATGGTGAAAGAATCAGTAAGTATTTTCTATATAAATTATGACACGGCTAAACTCACGTGATAACATTCGGTGTAGGCACCGACAGTTTCGAACCCGTTGGGGGTCCTTCTTCAGGGTGAGTGATTAATTAAGTATTTTCTGTTAAAAAAAAAATGTATATTTGTAGGATTTTGAGAAAGGCGTAAATGTAGGAATATTGGTCAAATATACATATCTTGTGTCGTATATAAAAAAACTTCGTTTATACTTGTTACCTCCTTTATTATTTACTTATTTTTTATATTAATTACATCGTATTATCGTTCGTCTCTCCGGTTTCCAATCTGCAGCCTGACTTATTAATAATTAAAAAAAAATCTTATATCTTTAATGAGACATTTCAATCTATATATAGCCTTAGTAAACTAGCATTTTCATCATTCCATCAATAACTATTGGTAATATTCTTAAGTTAAAGTAACAGACTGAATAAAAATGTTTGCTATCATTAACATTCACTTGCCTTTATTGCCTAAATGAATTATTTTTCCAGAACGGTGAAATAACGGAAGTAATGGCTCTGGACTACCAACTGATATACTACGGATGTCCCGTTAATGATCTAATATTCTTTATATTCAGTGGAACAGATAGACAGTTCAGAAAACAATATATGGGACATTTAAAAACTCTCTATCACGAAACATTGAAGAAATATCTAGGATATTTCAAAATGGACGTTGAAAATGTATTTCCTAGGAAAGAATTTGAACAGACTTTTGATGATCGATTGGAATATGGTTTGACGATAGGCGTCTATATGTCTTATTTCCAATTCGCAAGAGAGGATGATGTCGCTCGTTTCGGAGAGATGGCGCTGTCAGAACTCGATATTAATCCTTGTGAGGGATATGAAAGTTGGATTCGAGGTTTGATCGACGATTACGTTGAATGGGGATATTTGTAATACTGTCTAGTAACTATTTTGTTTTCAATGTGTTATTAACTGTATGGGAATATTAAAATGTGTTTTAAAACGCAAAAGATTACCACTGATTTAGATATACAAGTTAAAATGATGCAGCGGCGTTGTTTATCTTTATTAAAACTAGTTGTTGCCTGTGACTTCATTCACGCAATATTTAGATAAAATAGTAGCCTATAATATGCCTGTCTATGTCAGCTACCCTTCAGTTAATCGAAATCGAAATCGGCCCAGCCGTTTCGGAGATTACCCTGACCAATGCGGTTTGCGGACAGACAGATAAAGACATTTTAAGTGTTATCAGCAACCCATATACATCATTTGCCCGAAATCTGGAATTTTTCTTTTGATTTTACAAACAGACACTTCAATTTTATTACATGTATAGAGAAGATAGAAAAAGAGGATATTTACTTTGCCAATAGCTCCCTTCCCCTGGAAAATCCACTTCCTCTTCCGTTACGTTACGAAAAACGTTTGTCAACTTTTGAATATACGCGTAGTCACATTACAAATTGTTCCTTGTTATAAAATTACAATACAGGAACTTGAATGGAGGTAATAAATGTCGCGGCGTGTTACGAACTCGTTTCCTTGTTTATATTCCGAGCAACAGGTTATAACATGAAAATTAAAAACATAAACATCATATTGCATATTACTTACTATACTTTAACAGTGGTAGTCCAGATTACGGATCCCTTGACCACACAGGAGATAGGCGTCAAATGAAGGTAATTTAGCGTATTGTTTGAGTCTGATTAGCGTTTTTTTTATATTATGAGGTGGCGAAAAAGCCGCTTGCCACCTGAATTTACCAAAATAGCGAAGCGAACACTGCCCTTAGACAACCGCATTTTTAGTTAGGTTTCCTGTCTCGAATCAATAGAGACTGAG